ACATTTCCAAGTCAGAAGACCTCAGATAAAAATCTGAGATAAAAAATTATGGCTTCACTTGAAAAAGATCCAATCTGTGGGTACCTGGATGACTCAGTCAGTTAAGCATCTGACTTCGGTTCAGGTCATGATCTCACAGTTCCTGAGTTCCAGCCCCGAGGTGGGCTCTGTGCTGACAGCCTGGAGCCTGCTTCAGATTCGGTGTCTCCCTCTCTCTGCCCCTCCCTCTGCTCAGTCTCTCTCTCCTTCAAAAATAAATAAACATAAAAAAACTTTTTTAGGGGCGCCTGGGTGACTCAGTCGGTTAAGCGTCCGACTTTGGCTCAGGTCATGATCTCGTGGTCCGTGAGTTCGAGCCCCGCGTCAGGCTCTGTGCTGACCGCTCAGAGCCTGGAGCCTGTTTCAGATTCTGTGTTTCCCTCTCTCTGACCCTCCCCCATTCATGCTCTGTCTCTCTCTGTCTCAAAAATAAATAAACGTTAAAAAAAATTTTTTTTTAAATTTTCTTTAAATAAAGAAAGGAAGAAAAAGATCTGATCTGGTCATGCTGGGCCCCACGTGACCCATGCCAGCTGGAAATGAGTAGCCTTTGGTGCCTCTGTCAGCTCCAGTGTCCCCCCACCCCACCCTTCACCCAGTACCTCGATGGGCATATATAGCCTGCTTCATGCCAACCCTACCTTAGTGCCATTTTCAGGAACAAAATGCTGGATTCAAGACCCAACCCAGGATGGCAGTTTTTATCATCTCATTATACTCAGCAGGTTACTGGGCTCTCTCAGTTGCCAGGAACAGATACATTCCAGTAAAGGAAGCTTGTTGTAAGATTACATAGGAAGGGGCGCCTGGGTGGCTCAGCTGGTTAAGTGTCTGACTTCATCTCAGGTCATGACCTCACAGTTTGTAGCTTCGAGCCCTGCACTTGTCTCTCTGCTGTCAGCAAAGAGCCTGCTTCAGATCCTCTGTCCCCACCCCTTCGTCCCCTCTCCCATTCACACTTTTTTGTTCTCTCTTTCTCAAAACTAAACGTTAAAAAAAATATTACATGGGAAAAGTAAGGAAGACTGAATGAATATTCCTACAGGTGGGGGAAAGAAAGGGAAAAATATTGCTTGTTTTAATGTACAGTTCTGTTTCTTTCTGTAAAAGACACAAATTACTAATTCTCTTTTGTTTTTTAATTTTTTTAAAATTTACATCCAAATTAGTTAGCATCTAGTGCAACAATGATTTCAGGAGTAGATTCCTTAGTGCCCCTCACCCATTTAGCCCATCGCCCCTGCCACAACCCCTCCAGTAACCCTCTGTTTGTTCTCCATATTTAAGAATCTATTATGTTTTGTCCCCCTCCCTGTTTTTATATTATTTTTGTTTCCCTTCCCCTATGTTATCTGTTTTGTCTCTTAAAGTCTTCATATGAGTGAATTAATATGGTTTGTGTCTTTCTCTGAC